CGTATTGCACCCATTTTATTATTGACCTGTCAAAAAATGTTTGATTCCGGACTGGTTGCCGAACATGACGTTTTGTGGACCAGCACGTGATACGGTTTTGACCAATCGGCAAACAGAAAAATTGAACTTTGACACTAACTATATAACAATAAGAGTTGATGAGAATTGGGAAGCCAGAGATTGCATCAGAGTTTTGTCAATTCTAATCTCCCGGTCAGACAAGTACAAGAGTTGCATGAGAGTTGACTGAATATTACTGTATGCATAGGGAAAAAATTTGAACTCTCATCCTTGTTTGACCGGGGCTTAAAGCGATATGCAACAACCCACATGCAAATTCATGAAGTCACCTAGTATACAGTACTCTACCCTTTGTCTAAAACCATAATGCATATTCATAATGGTTAACAAAATTACACAATATCAACGACAACTTACTCAGTTACAGTATTTATTATATAGAGTTTTTGGCCACTGAGAAAAATCGTATTTAAACACACGTAAAAAGTACGATATTTTTACGTGTGAAAATATCATTTGTTGTAAAACGCATTGCCACGGACGTTTTATTGGTTTTCACTGAATTTTGTTTATATAATAAACAGAAAAATACACGGGTTCTTGGAAATACCAGATTTATTTCTCGTGTTGAACACGATATCTCACTCGTTGGCTCGGTGATTATCGGGGAATATTCACCTCGACTTCGTCTCGGCGAATATTCCCCGATAATCACCTCGCCTTCGGCGAATAATTGTTAAATATCAACACGGAAAATGTTTTATATTTGTTAATAAATATACCGTAATATAAAATATTTCTGTTAACACATGAAAAAATATGAACAGGTTACACTCTTATCGACCAAGCATCATTGTGTACTATAGACTAATAGCAGTATCCCAATTTTTGGTAAGGACTAAAGTAAGTTAGTGTCAGTCGCTCCCAGAGTCTGTAGAGTGGAGAAAAATGAACAAAAGTGAGCCATAGATATACAATAGACGCGGTTGTTTTTAATAATTGGCGAGATTACATTGTTATTATATGGATCGGCACGAAGTCGGATTCTGCCATTATCTAGCAGGCGGAATCTTTGTTTTCATGCCTGTGTTAAAGATTACAGATTCTGTTAAAAAGATTTGCAACAATAAAGGAAGAAATATTCAAATTGATGAGACAAAACGGTTGGCCATAATGTCCGTGCAGAGCAGGGGTGGAAAAAATATTTTATTTTCTGGGACCGCAACGAAGAGTGGGAAAATTTTCTGCGAATTGTCGACGCAAATCCTGTATAATTTAAATTAATTAAAGGGTCACTTGCAAAGAGGGCTAATAAGATTTAAGAATTTTTAAATAACCATCGTACCATATAACAGCTGTGGCAGTCCCAGAAGATTTTCTTTCATAACGCAACTGAAGAAAGGATTTAATTGAAATAGACAAGTGAGGAAAGACTGTGAATTTGTGTGCTTTCCAATATGATTTTACATTGTATTAATATTTGCATCATGCCATCATAATTAATAGTCTGGAAGTTGGACAAAAGGTATTGTTAATTATGTTTTTGTTCACCTTTATGTCCTTTATGGAAATTTGTGCACCTTCACAGTGAGTGAACATTTTGTTCTGTATAATGAAGCAAATGCCCAATGGAAATCTCAGACTTCAACCCTAAGATTTTCATATTGATCAACAAATTGTGTACTTTCAGGTACATTTCAAGTTTTCAACATCAATTGACGTTTGGTATAGGAAACTACTTGAAGTTTACCAATCTTCCTAGCAATGTGTATTTTCTATTAACTATGATTGCATTTAGTTGTGCTTTATATAATATAATCACTGGCAGACACTTTGTGAAATATTGGGTGCCAGGGGGGGGGGGGGAATAAATGTTTGTTTATTCTGTGAGAAGACAGAGTATGCACTATGCAAGGGTCTGCCAGTCAGAAGAAGTTTAAACAGAACATCACTTCCTAACTCCCTGTGAATTCTTATAGGCTTAAGCCCATAGTAGTCTTCATTTTTTAAATTACGTGGAATGTGATCCCACCAATGAAGCAGATCTAAATGAACACAATTTACCAGTTGAGATAATGAAATCAACTGATAATGAAACCGTGATAAAATTGTCGAAATTTATCTCTTTATGTTTTGAGAAGAGATCTAAATGCCTTGAAGCCATGAATGCTGACAGTCAATAGGCTGTTTAACTAAAACCCAAGTCTTCCTTTATATACCAATAACTTCATTTTCTATTCCTTGTATTACTCGATACTGACAGTACTGTATGTCATACTACCACAAAACATTTTGCATTTGTAAATATTTATACCAACTAATAAGCAATACTTGTATGTAAAGTCAAGCTAATAAAGTCATTTGTTACTGCTGCTGTTACTACTTCCTATAGAAATAAAAATTGGGAATTGAAATTAAGGAGGGAGGGGAATGATACGGATACCAAATTTTGCAACCAGGGCAGTGGTACGGATACAAAGCCAACAAAGGGCCAAAGGGGGTAGAACCTGCGAATGAGGCTACATTCCGCTATCAAAGTTCTTTCGCAAATTATTCTGGGCGCACCCCCTACACTTAGTGTCTGTCCCTGAACAAAATGGTTACTTATTGGTGCAGTTACTCTCTCTTCCTTTCTATTCTTTTTCTTTCCTTTTTCTTTCTTTCTTTCCCCCTTTTTCTTCCTTCCCCTTTTTCTTTCTGCCAGCATAAAAAATTTTCTGGGACCAATGGTCCCGTGGTCCGCTATATTTTCCACCCCTGGTGCAGAGTAATCAGTAGACTGCCATATCAACATTATGCTCGGCTAATAGTAGCCTGAAAACAGACCTACGTTTCGCCAACGTAGGTCTGTTTTCAGGCTAGGCTAATGGCCGGTGGCCAACCGTTGTATTGAGCTCTGTCCCTTGACAAGTAAAATTGTCTTCTATTAGACAGTCTAGTAAAATTATAATATAGTAGGCGCACTCTTTAAGTCTATAGGTGACCGAGTATGGCCTGTGGGTTTAGATTATATACTGTATGCTGTCTTTTCCTTTAGCACTTTCTATATATTCTGCTCTGTTTATGAGATTTGCCTGGAAAGTTCAGCCACGTAATCTGCTCCTGCTTGCTTGTCATATCACAAACGAGACTGCTCAGCTGATTCAGCTTGGAAGACTAGGGATACATGAGTAAGTATGAAACAAACATATATTCCAGTTTACTAATTGCAGAAGGTCGTTGAGTGTAAATTTTTTACGAGGCTATGAGCTATTTAAAACACGAGCAGGAATACTTTATCAGCTATCTCAGATATATATCAGATGGCTCAAAAAAGGACCCATCTTATGAATGCATCAGCTCATAATTTTAGCTGCGTAATTTTAAAAATCAACGTAATCTAGGCCAAGAAAATCAAAGCTAAGGTCTATGTAGTCTCCTGCGCACCCACTAACAACGTGTGCGCAGGAGGCTAAGGTCTATGTAAATTAACATGATTTTTCATCAGCCTAGACCTAAGTATATAGCCTTCTATTTTTATTATTTTTTTACAGTCAAACCAGATGTTCTCTTGCAAACAACATTGCAATATTCCCACAATATTGCAATTTTGATAGGCAGATTGCTCTGAGCAATTTGCAACCGACGCGAACAAGTTGAAGTTCACAAACGTTTTGTAAACAAAGCCTCTGATTGGATTATAAGAAAGAGGGAAGTCAATCAAATAGTCTGAGCAACTGGATTGGTGCTTTCCTCTTTCTTATACACTATAGTCCAATCAGAGGCTTTGTTTACAAATCTTTTGTGAATTTCAACTTGCAATGTTCGCGTCGGTTGCAAATTGCTCAGAGCAATCTGCCTATCAAAATTGCAATATTGTGGGACAATATTGCAATGTTGCTTGCAAGAGAACATCCGGTTTGACTGTAATATTCAGCGCTTTTTCACATGAGAACTGAGAAGACTGGGACCTCGGCGATTTGGGGGCGGGGCAGAGGAAGGGTGTTACGTTCGTGGGTGAGAACGAACAAAAATGTATGTCCAGGGATGCCGGAACCACGGGTGCAGCGGGTGCAAGTGCACCCCTTGCCTATTGCATTTTCAACTGTGTTGGTGCAGTGCGGGTGCAGACTATGGGTGTAACGTGTGCACAAAACTTTTACAACAGACATAACGTTGCTCGAGGAAGTGTGTGGTGGTGTTCCATCCCCCCCAGTCGTCAGGAATTCGGCAAAGTTGTTATCCATTTGGCGAAAGGTGAAACGGAAAGTATTACTTATGGAATTTTTGGCGAGAAACTACGGAGGAATTGTGGCTAAATAATTGTATTCGGTCCGAAAATTTTGGTGGCGGGGAGGGAGGTAGACACGAATGTAGGATCATGACGCCCTTTCATTTTCATTGGTGCCCTTTTGTTAAGGAGTATGCCCTCTTATTAACCAATTGCACCCCTTGCCCTCAGCAACTTCCGGCATCCCTGTGTCTCTGCATCTTCATGATCTTTACGCTCGTTACCCTCCTTGACCAGACACAGCGACACGCGCTGGCCAAGGAGATTTTCTCGTATTTGGAAGATCCTTCTTCTTCGTCTTATGAACTTTGCGATGACAATAAATCCAACAATATCACTTTATTCTTCTTGAACAACAACAGCAAATTACTATTTCTAAACTTTTCTCAGATCCTTTTTTAGCTTAAGCTTTCGCTGCTTATATACTGTCCGAATGATATTTATAGAACATTACATAAATTAAAATACTATTTTTAGATACTACGTAAACGATAAATATAGCAAAAGCATGAATCAGCCAGCCGAGTAAAGAAAGGCCTAGGTGTAGGCTGATTTTTCATCACATATAAAACAAGCGACACAGTAGTATTTTCTTTGTCTTTTCCTAATGAATTATTTATGATTTCTTAAAATATATATACTAGATGATCCATGATAGGGTATATGGGTACATATCAGGATTATTAGGAGTACATATCAGTTTCGTTTCCTGCTGGAAGGCTTACTGCTCCTGGTTAAGTCTAAATAAATGTAGAAAGATTTACACTCGGAATTTCCATCTACAAAACCTTCAAGGCTAATTTTATAACTTTATTTTTTTCAGATATAACAAGCCAAAAGAACCGTTGTAAAAAGATCGTATTGAAAGATTATGTAATTTATCACGAAGGATTTATATACGCACAAGTACACTTCAAAAACACTCTAGTTAAGATTTTCTAACTTAATATTCCTGGTTATAAATTTATTTCCTGGTTATTTTATTTCACTTCCTACCATAGTTTAGTTAATTAACCAAAAGTCTAGTTATCAATACTGTTATATTTGTCCTTTTAAAATAAGGGGGGGGGGGGGAAATATGTGTGTTTCCGGTTTCCCGACCCTACCTATAGCTTTTGGACGCCGAAATCCCGATTCTGAACTTTTTTTATATTGGATCATGCTTGTAAGTGTTTCCACTTAGAGGAAAACGTTTGTGAAAAATGGAAATTTGAGGCAATATTAGTAAACTTATCTTTGAATGTGGAAGCACTGACTAAACAAAATGGCGCCCGGTTGTTAGGAAAATAAAAAAAAAGTTTAAAAAGAAAAGTTAAAACCGACCTACCCTACCTAAGTTTTTACAAGAAGAAATAGGAAACCCACATATATTTTTTGGCCTAACCACACTATGCTAAAGGTTTATGAACAGAGCAATCCTAATCACATTATAGTCCGTGTGTTGTGACCATTGAACTATAAATAAACTGGAAGGCTAACTGCTATGATGAAGGCCTATGATTTGATGAAGCCAAAATAGTTTTTCTGAGTTATGAGCAGAAATACTTGACCCCAAACGTCGAGCTATATATCAAATTGAAGCTATTGAAAATTGCTATTCGGTGTGGAAATTTCAAGACTTCAGCGAAAAGAAAAATATTTAAAAAATACGAAAACAACTGCAAAACGGCAAATTATCGGTAATTATGTTTGTAGTTTTTCAATATTTCCCTTTTAGCTAAAGTCTTGAAATTTCTGCACCAAATAGTGTTTTTCAATAGCTTCAATTTGATATATAGCCCAACGTTCAGTGTTGAGTATTTCTGCTCATAACTCAGAAAAACTAAAATGCACTGGCTTCAATTTCCCCCCCTGAGTTAGCCTTCCAGTTTATTTATAGTTCAATGGTTGTGACCTCGAAAAGTGCCTAGAAAACGATTTTCATTAAGCATGTCTTAGATCTGAAATATTTTTACGGGAACTAACACTTTCGAACACGCTGAGTTCAAATCCGAAAAGTTCCCACTCCGTAGACCCGCAGTTTTTTCACAAAATGCTATTTTATCTTCACTAATTTCACAACAAATTTTTTCATTGTTCAACGATACGGATCGATGACGAAACACGATTATGTCACTCAAAAGGACCGATTTCTATTAACCATTCTTCCTTTTAACAAAAGACCGGTCTTGCTCGAATCATTTTGAGTTATGTAATCTTATGCGTGTTGGACGTAAACAACATATCTTGTCTACAACTTTGAGAAGGTACAGATAATTCCTTCTAATATCCTTAGTTCTGGATCTATTTCTATAAAATCACAAGGACGTTAATGTTAAGTCTTTGGGCTATGTCTCTGGGCTGAGAAATAATTCCTTACATGCGATGAAAATGTTTTATACAAAGATATAAAACGGTAATCTATATGTAATGGATCAGCACTGAAATTTCCAACACGGTTTCCAAGACGTAATTCAAGAGATAACTTATCATTGCATTTGAACTATTACATCAGTTGGTGTTATACTGTGCGATAAGCGAGTATTATTGGAAAGAGGGCTTCTATATACGTCGAAATCATCAAATAAACAGCTCATGCACACATTTCTCCACTTCGCGGTAAGTTTACAGAGCGTATTTTATACTTTGTGACTGATCTTTGTCTTTGATGTGAACATTTATTCTTATAGTTTAAGGTTATTTAAGATTGATCCTGTCGTAAGTCTTCTACCTGCAACCATTCGACAATATTTCGTTTTAGCGTTATCTTTGCCGTTACGTTGGCTTCGCGTTACTTTTGTTTTAAATATCTTGATCGCGTTAAAAGAGTTATTTTTCAGGCCAGTGAAATAGCTAAAAGACTTGACATTAACGTCATTGTGATTTTAAAGAGATATATCTAGAACTGAGGATTTTAGAAAGCGTTATCTGTACCTTCTCAAAGTTATAGACAAGATATGTTGTTTACGTCCAACACGCATAAGATTACATAACTCAAAATGATTCGAGCAAAACCGATCTTTTGTTAAAAGGAAGAATGGTTAATAGAAATTGGTTCTTTTGAGTGACATAATCGTGTATCGTCATCGATCCGTATCGTTGAACAATGAAAAAATTTGTTTTGAAATTAGTGAAGATAAAATAGCATTTTGTGAAAAAACTGCGGGTCTACGGAGTGGGAACTTTTCGGATTTGAAATCAGCGTGTTCGAAAGTGTTAGTTCCCGTAAAAATATTTCAGATCTAAGACATGCTTAATGAAAGTGAACGATATCGGGTCACAACACACGGACTATTAGTCATTAACCAGATCAAATGTTTACAATAACCAGGAAATTTAACCAGGAATATGAAGTTAATATAAATAGGGTTAATTCTACGTTGACCAAGAAAATTTGAGCAGAATATTTTTAAAGTGCATGGCTCAGTGTTGTTAACTTTATTTAATATTGCAGATTGATATTGTATGTTCTTATATCAATAGGGTTCAATTTACTTGTGGTGGAACTGATAATTGAAGGTCATGTAAAGTCCGTAATGTAAACAAACGCTTTGTTTACATTTTGAACTCAGTGCTATAGTTGTAAAATGCGATTAGATATATATTATACTGAATTTTTAACACTCTTCTGGTTCGCTATGCTAGAGACTAGAGATTCAATTCAAGAAAGTTCGGAAGGTGCGAAATATTAACAACATTCCAATGGTCCATCCTCGTTCCTAGGCAGGCAGCCGAGAAGCCCTGGGAACGAGGATGCCAATGTTCGGGTCCCAACCATTGGAATGTAGCCCTGCTCAGAACGGACTTTACACGGTCTTTAATTATAACAGCGACTAAATTGTTCACTAGCTATATGTATTATTGACCTTTGACAAAATTAAAAAAAAAATAATGGTGCACGAAACTCCTCAGTCCATTGATATATACATATGCACTCGTAATGTAAATCGATTTAACACTCTAAACGGGTTCTTAGTTTAGAAAGGGGCAACCAACCTTGTACCCAGGCTCTTTCCACTACGTGCCTCGCTGCGAGGCGCATAGTGGAAAGAGCCTGGGTACGAGGTTGGAAGAAAACCAAGCAAGAGAAAGAAGACCAACATTGAGAAGCCACCTGTAACCGAGCAACGAGCTCGTCACGACGACTCTTCAAATCCTTGCGCTTATATACGATCGAATTCAAATCTCCCCCCTGCGCTACCATCCGGTTCCTCGTTTCGGCTGAAATGGTTACCAGGAACAGGAGTAAGGAAGTGCTATGGTTGCGAGAAAGAGATAACGAATTTACCTGGGGCTGTTCCTGATGATCTTGTCATTGTTTACCGCGACATACGGCAATACGTACAGGAATCCGAATGACGGACTTGTAAAATTTACCAATCATCTTGAAAATGTTCATTTGCATTTGCATTTGAAAATGACAAAGTGGCATGCATCCGGGCAAAATATCCAAGTTTCCACCACTTTTCAAGTTGGAACACGTGCAAAGGCTCGTTGGGGAGTTCGGCTGGCTGGGTACTTTGACGTTAGGTTTGATCTAGACAAGTCTAGACAAAAATTGCTGAAAGAGCATCACCGAAAATTAGTAATATTCCGAAGTTTCGTTGCGAAATGTTGTAAAATGCGGATAATATACCCCTGCGAAGTTTGCCGTTTTTTAATCAATTTTTATTACGCACGGGAAATTGATACCTTCATTTTTTCAGAAAGCGATATCAATTTCCCGCGTGCGTAACACTGAAAAACGGCAAACTTCGCGGGGCTATATTATCCGCATTTTGCAACATTTCGCAACGAAACATCGGAATGTTATTAATTTTGTAATGCTCTTTGAAGCTGTGATAAAATTTTTGTCTAGACTTCTCTAGATCAAAATTTTGTTCATTAGGGAATAGGTCCATAGCCGAAGCCTACCTACCGGTATCGAACGAACGACGGGGAAGAGTGCCGGCGGCCCCCAGGCCATTGTGCCTGATACCCTTTTCGAAAGATCCTATGATCGGTAACTACCACACACAAGTAAAAGTAACAGTTTCGTAAATAAGTACGTTGTAGTTGCCAGGTGTGGTACATGTGAGTCGCTTTAGCTCGGTGTTTACTAGACCTTTGAAACGAACGCATGCGCGGTAACCTGACACTCGGGTAAACGTAGCGCATGTGTGGGCATCATCCAATCAGGACGCAGGAAAATTTCGCACTGGCGCGCTCGACGCTCAATGGTAGTCAGCTTGTTATTTGTGGGTCTTACATGAAGTACTTAAACTAGCCATTGCCACTGACCTCGTTTTTGCGGGCTCAGCTGCGATACAAATTTTGTAAACTAAACTTCAAGGGACACACGTGTACGTGTTTTTCAGCAAAATTATGGAAAAGAAAGACAAATATGTCACGAAGAAACGAAAAAAAGCTTCTACAGATGGTCCTTCAGGTATATTTGAGCACTTATTAGCATCAAAACCTTAGGTTTTGGCGTTTTAACTAGTTTAAAATTTGTATTATGCACCTATGACCCATCAATGGCTTCCTACGCCGAAGATCTTCGGCGTGAGTTTGGCAAATTACAATAGTATCTATAGTTAATATTGGCGTATCTTCGGCGTAGACTTTACACGGACTGCACCCTGGCCAACGGGGGAGTGCGGGCATACCCAGGGCACAGAATAGGGCAATTGACATTTTGGAGAATTGTTTGTCAATATTCCTCTCTCAAGGGCGGTATAGAATTGTCAATTAATGTTGAATGCCCCTAGGTCATGAAGAGATTGAAAGACCAACACTTACATATTATAATCTTGACACAAATTTTAGGCCGATGGAAGTAAGGGATCATCGACAAGTAGATTTTGTCCGGCGATCACAGACTTGTACCGCAATGGTCTGGACCCCCCCCCCACCATCGCAGACTCAAACATTCCAACTGTCCCGGTTTACCCGGGACTGTCCCGGTTTGGACTATGTTGGCCCGATGTCCCGGTTTTCTTCTTATTGTCCCGGTTTTCTTCTTAATATTGTCCCAGTTTCTGTAGTATTTTAATAGTTGTATTCTTCAAATAAGGCTCATGTGATAAATATTAATGAAATTCGTTTGGTTCAATACATATTAATGAAATGGGAGCTTCTAGTTGCCCTTTGTTGCTGATCGTTGTAATTCTCGTGACATATGTTGTAACAGAAGTGGGCGCAATAATTGCGGGCTCTTGAATACGAGAGGATCATTGCAGCCAGGGTCTTAGCTAGAGGGCCGTGTTGGCCGTGTTATCGCGGCCAAAAGTGGAAAAACACGGCTAGATGAAATTAACGCGGCTTTAGTATTTTTATATAAGGCCGTGTAGGTTCATAAAATAAGGTGTTGCTACTTACAACAGACAGAATTTCTTCCTATTTACGTCGTAAGAGAGTTTGTAAAATCTATTGTTGTTGTTGAAATTGGCAAAAGTGATCCGTGATGTTTTAATATTTTGATGGATAATGGGAACTGTATGGTTTTAAATACCCCCAAGAGTTGCTGAAATAACTTAATATTTTAATGTTAGTGCGCAATATGAGCGCATGCTCGCCATGTATTCGGTTGCAAAGCATAAAACCACAACAACAGGCCTTAAAATATCTTTTACAGGGCCGTCTGACAAAATGTCCGGTGACGTTGAGTTTGGGTCGGACATATGTCCGATGACCTTCAGTTCAGTTTTGACTCGGAAATAAGTCTGAATGACACAAATGGATAAACGGTAAATGTTGCAAAGATATTAAATACTTTGTTTCTTTCATACTTATTTCCAAGCCAAAATTAACTTGCTTGCCAGAACAGCAGTATTAAAAAAGACTTCGACAACTTAAGCCAGTTTTCCATTTCGCTCGCCGCCCCGCGCTCGACTACGTTAAAACAACATTTCCAGTTCACCTTTTATACAATATAGTACTCTGATTTTCCATTTAACATACAAGCCTCTAGTCCTGGGCTAGGGTACATTTTGATTTACGTCGGACAAAGCTACAGTTCGGTCGGACACCAATACACTCGGGTCGGACAAACAATAAACCTCAGTTTCACTTTGGTCGGACAGAATGTCCGGTGGTTTCCTCTCTACGTCGAACAATTTCATGAATGGGTCGGACAATGTCCGTGACCGACCGATATTTTAAGGCCTGCAACAAGCGTTGTTGGCGAGCATAACTAGAACCGTGATTTTGCTATTCAAGGTTATTGACATGTGCACGCCCTGGTCATTAGAAACACGCCCAAGATCTAAAATCCTAGCTAAGATCCTGATTGCAGCATATTTAACTTATGGGTTTCAACGTTAGTGTAATAGAACTAGTTTTTGTAGCATCCACTGTGAATTTATTGTTTAGTTCAAACTCAACTCAGCCAATTTTAACACTAACCCAAATAGACAACACATCAATGAGAAAAGTGTTGATTTTATTCGAGGGAGGCGTGTATTTAAGTAAAATGGGAAAATTGGGAAGTGTCCCAGTTTTGAGGACTCGGAGGTTGAAATGTCTGCGGACTGGCCAGTTGATTTTTGGCCCTCACACACAAAAATATAAAGAGGAAGTATAGTATTAAAACGACGACTGTCGACAAGGGAAAAGTGCTACATTATGAAAACATTAAATTGATTAAAAAATTGAAAATAAAATATTTCCCTCTATTGATTACTGCTGTTGTATTTTTAGTTAATATAAATATAATTGTATAAATTTTCAAAAACACAGCACATACCTGAAATATGTCATTCAAAACAACGACTTACAATTTGGACGACGGGTGTATATTATATAAACCATAACTGATCTGACGCCATTGATCATTTGATCATGGTATCAAATAATCCAGGGGCATTATTATAAAACTCGAAGGCCTTCGGACTTCAAACAGAACGCGAATCTTGTGTCAAACATTAAATATTGTTGAGTCTACACTACAAAGGCAGTATTAATAATACCTTCTTACAATTTCTCCAACTGGTATAAAGTTAATGACATTGTCTTAAAGGACATTGGCAACCAAAATTTGTGTTACTTATATCTATCAGGTATATACTAAGTCTTACAGAATATTTAATTTCATTGTTGGCGGGGAAATAATGTCACACAAAAGTTATTTTTTAAAAGATATTTGCGTTATCAAGGGCAAATGTTGGTGTATCTCCGGCGTAGAGTTTACATGGAATGGAATGTAGAGTTTACCCTGATTAATCTGTCTGCAGTGTTTTTACACAGAAGAGTTTATACCAGACAAGCTATCTGCTCTTTGTCTATGTTTGACCAGTGCTCTAATATAAATCAGGCCAGTAATTCCTACTAGATCTAATTTACATGCTCATGTTACTTCAAGGTAAAAAGTTGAAGAAATTGAAGAAAAAACCATCAAATGCTGAACTCGGTGAAGAGGAAGGTATATAGACGTGTGTTGATATAATTAAAGATGTACAATTAGGCTGTTGCTAAATTTCGATATATTTAAAAAAAAATATCGAAAATATTGACTGTATCGAAAATATGCAAATTTATACATATGTGCAAATTAGCAAAATTACAAAATGTAGTTTAGTCAATATACCGTATCACAATTCGCAAACAGCAAAATAAATGTATTTATTATATAAACATAAGTGTTATATAGCAGTGTGCGAATTAACGGTGTGCAATGTGCAATTTGCACATCGTTTTGGCCAAAATGGGGTAAATTGCACATCACTTTTTCAAACGATGTGCATTGATTACACCCATCTCGAATGCTGTGGTTGAACGGATGTTCTCCACAATGGCGAGAATGAAACCACACCTCTGCAACAGAATGTCATGAGATAGATTGGACAGTCTTTTGAGAATTAGTGAGGAGGGACCTTCAGTGAAGGATTATGATCCAACTGCTGCAATTGAGCAGTGGTATGGACAAGAGAAATGAAGGATCGGATTCGGTGGCCACGCTTATCCGGAGAAACGGAAGAAGAAAGTCGAGACGTCGGACGCGTCACGGCGACATGCCTATTTTTCGGATCAAGAGTTGTCGGAAAGTAGTGCTGTGCGCCGGAGTTCTGCCGGAGCTCCGGCGGTTTTTCCGATGCCGGAGCAG